GCTAGAGGGGTGGGGAAGTTCGTGTTGAGATGAAATGGAAGCTGAGGGAAATAAAGTTCAACATTAGAGATATTTGGTCTATCATGCTATGAACTTGAGTGTTTGAAACTGGAATTTGATATTAGGAGCCGTAAATAGTTCCTTGTTTTATATTGATATTGTTACTGTTATTATTTTTTTATTTCTGCTTGATTCTTTATACCCTTCCAGCCTCCATTCCCACCAACCTCCCCTTTCCCTTCATTCTCCATGCGCTCTACAAATATCGTTTTACACTCTCAGTCATGGAAGCAGTCACCCATGTTGACAAACCGACTATCATTGCAATCAGTTCATCTCCCGTTCTCTCGTACATCACACCATCACTCTCACCCAGTATCACTCTCACAATTTTCAGTCGTTCTCTCTCCTATACATCACACTCCATCATCAAGTGCTCCGCAGCTTCTTTCTCGCCTCTGTCACACATAAAACAAATATCTGCTCTAATTTCATTCCACCTTCATGTCCGTGTATTCAAATTTGAGTCATTTGTACTCACGCAGAAGATCAGGTCACCAGACATACTGCCATCAAATACGCATTCATACCTGGGCATCTCTTCATCTTCTGCAGCTTGTGGCTGTCTGTTCTTTCCCTTCCTTGCTCCGAGGTTCTTATAGCTCACTTTTTTCGTTTTTACATTATTCTTTCTTATTACGTTCTCTCTTATTACGTTCTTTACATTATTTCACATCCAATTCTATTCCAGTAATACATTTTACTGTCATTTCTACAGCACCGTGCGTGTGACGGTCTCGTCTCGTTGTGAGCCACCCTCATTAAGTTTCTTTTCCCTGCAGACTGGAGGTGGCAAGTGAGGGTCTTTTCCAATAACAATTGGAATAAAACAATAATTCGAATTGGAATAAAACAATAACAATTTTCCTGGAATAAAAATGGTCGTAGACTTTTCACTGTGGCCAACGTGTCAGGTGCAAGACTAAGCCATTCACTGATTCAGCCACGACTGACTTGCCTTGCCTCATCAGTCTTGAGACTAGGCACCACCTGATCAAAGCTCACAGCAAAATCATCATACGCTCGGAGCTAAATAAATGCACCTGCAAAACAAATTCTATATAACATAAGTGGAAATTCGAAAATGTAAAATATTATATGACATTTTTACGATTATTCATATTTATCACAAAATATACATTAGTAAAACATTTAAAGTTTATTAATATCTCAGGTTATTTTACATAATAACGGCTTCTAACAAATTACATTGTCATCGCTTTCTCCACTAGTTCAACCATGGCTGTTGCCACCGTGCTTTCGACTTTTAACTCTATCCGAATATCTGCATATTAGTGTTTGCTGTTCCGGAGTCCGGACATTCGGTTGCAATAGTCCAGGTCCAGCCTGTTCACTTCCTCTAGCAGACAAGCTCACAGCCCATCTTCCATAGTACGGCACGAGAATCGTTGAAATAGAATCTCAACGGTCATCTAATCAATAAGTAACACATGACAGGCAATAGGTTTTTCAGTCGGGCTGTTTTTCTAGTTGTAACTTAACTATGAAATGCTAGCTACTAGCATTCTAGCCTAGTCGTTAATAAACAGATGAGTCATAGACTCATAGTTAATAAGTTATAGTATTAGTTTTATTAGAAACAAACCTTGTGTATAATGTAAAAATTGTTTCAAAACAGCAGTGGAACGTTTGGGTTGTTTGCCTCACAGCTGACAATTTCAATATACTGAAAGAGTGTGTAATTTAGCATGAACATTTCTAGTTCTTAAAATGTAGAGTGCTTGCCCTTCTAAATTTCTAAAATTCTTATTCTGTTAACACTTAAAAGCAGACAGCTTCCTCATATCTACCTAAAAATTGAAGTTTATTTTGTATTTTATTTTTCCTTTACAGATTAAGCTATATAATTAGTAATTAGGATCTATCATCTAACAATACAAAATTACTTACAAAATACAAGTTACATCATTCCATTAGCCTATTTAACTTGTCAATGAAATTTCAGCTTTAGGTGCTCACCCGCCTCACTGTGCTCTAATCTTCCTAGTCTTCTAGATAAGATCGGTATTTTATTTCAAATTCACAATCATAGTGGCAAACCAGAGATTCTTTAGAATCAGTTTATTTTTAATTTCCTCATTTATTCAAGATTTAAACCAATTTCTTAAGTATGATAATACTGGTATCCATGATACTTTACTGGTCTACTTATAGGACTCAAAAATGAACTTAAGAGAGAGTCTAAAAAACTCTCTGCTTTGCCACTATGTTCACAATGGATATGCATGCTTAGTGTTAGTGGTTTCATGATTCATCACAGGAAAGAAATTTTACCATATTATTTGATGCAATAAGTTTTTGGGATAGTTCGGTATTTATATTTACGGTATTTAATCCTATATAATTGCAGATTTACAGTGTCTTCCTTAGGGCTTAGGCGTTAGGCGTGTTGATTGAAGCATATTGCTGTACTGAAAAAGTTTTAAATCCTACCTACTAAAATAACTAATATAATTTAGCCTATAACAAAATTTGCTTAAAAAGTTTTAAATTGTATATTATATGATTTAGCCTGTAAAAAAATTAGTAATAAATAATAAGAAATTTTTTGAGTATGTTATTAAAATTTCAGGCTTCTGTAGTCACTGGATAAGCCCGTGAATGTCAATAATAGTCGCAACATGTAATAACATATCTGTATGTTGTGCTATCAGTGCTATCATGCTATGGCCTATGTATAGCTTGTTCTGATTCATACTCTAAAATGCCATTGCCAGGTATATTTACCTGGCAATGCCAGGTAATTTAATTAATTGCCATTGCCAGGTATATTTACCTGGCAATGGCAATTAAATTTTTAATTTTACAATACATTTGCATCAATTGTTTTATCCAAATTTGAAGAGTTGTCAACTTTGCCTACAATCTTGGTAATATCTGATACAGTGTCTGCATTTGGATTACAGTATGATTAGTGTTTTATAAACATCTTTCTCTAGTGTTCAACAAAAAATTTAATCAAGCAAAACTTTGTCTGTAATAAACATAAAAATTTATTTTGATTTCAGTAAGCTACAAGTATGACTGGTACAAGTTCCGTGTTTAGGAAAAAGTTCCCTGGGCTTGATGAAGAAATATTCCAGTATGTTGAAGGTAAGTTCTTCCTGATGGTAATAAAAGTATTATTCAATTGAAATAGTAACTTTTTTTATCTAATTCCTTCTGCTCTAGAGTCTGCTCAACAGATTGAAATTTGAAATTTTGGTTGAAAATGTATCTTCTGTCAGTGAGAGAAGATACTGTTTATAAACTGCAATTTACTGACCACATTTCATCTAAGACAATTTAAATACTAGTATGCAACACTTGATATATTGCAATTGTGTAAAAAAGCTTCAGTTATCTCTATGTATAACTTAAAAATTTTCATACATTTCTATATAAACAATTTATGGTTTCTATTTCAGCCAACAACTTGAGTATAATGGCAGCTCATTTGTTATTGATATTATGTGTGAAAATTTCTCAAAATACTATTGACAAATATTCAGTACAATAACTAAAGCTCAGACTGATTACTCAATATCATTTAGCTTTGGTGCTATTGACTTAAATTTTTTCTTAAGGAAAACTTTTTGCATCTTATATGTCAAAACTTAAACTTCTCTCCCTTTGTTTAGGTGTACTGGAGAATTTGGGAGATTTTTCTGATGGCCAAGAGTTACATGATGCTATTGGAGGCTTGCTCATGGAGAGTGTAGGGGCTGACAAAGACACTGAAATAAGGTGATTCATTTTAGATATTATGTATTGATTACAAATCCTTGTAAAATGTAGTGATGGATTACTTATAGATGCCTACTTTTTATATTTTATTGCAATTTTTATCTATGCATGTCTTTGTAAGCATAATAGCACTAAGTTTGGTACCAGTTGTTTCAACAATTTTGTGGAATTTGAGAATTTATATTGAACTTATTAGAAATTCAGAAGCCATCACTGAAAGAAATGAGTTAGACGTTGTCCGAAAAGCGGTGCGCTTTTCTCCCTTGTCCCCTCCAGTCACAGTTTGACATGCCAAAGGGGCGCATCAGCGCTGCGTCCGCTCTCTGCTAGTGACGTGGGTTAGAAAGCGAGTCACTCTTGGGACAAACGACCGACTCATTTCTTTGGGTGTGGACATAAGTCGTACTAGACAGTCGTACGATCGCGCTGTCTTGAACAGCTGTGTTCTGGAACAGAACTAGAACAGCTTGAGTATAACAAATGGAGGCAAGTGAAAAGAACAATGATTGCCGACACTCCGGTGCGATAAGAGAACAGTGATGAAAGATAAGAGAACAGCGATGCAAGATAAGAGAACATCGATGAAAGATAACAGAGCATAGGCAGGTCCATGCTATTCCACTCCATGACTTCGAGCGTGTATCTGAAGGAAAGTTTACAGCCTGCATATATACCTTCAACATGATATACCTTTAACATTTATATACCTTCAACATGTTATAACTTCAATGGTAGTATGTAAACTGA